TCGGGTAGCTGCTATCTAGAAAAAAAAGATATTTATGATATTTATTTTAATTCCCAGCCTTCTGCATTACTATTTTTGGAGGATTAAACTATTCATTGGGTGGTTAGACGTTAAATTTTAATGCCCCTTCAAAGCAATGTATAACTGACTAAATTACAACGATAGCGGTAACTTATGGTGTCTGTCAGTTACAAAACCACATGATTTTAAAATCAACCACTTGATGCTGATTTTAAAATAAGTCAGTAGACTCGTTTTGTGGCATAAAGCCGTGGACGCTGTCGTTTCTACCATGATGTCCTCCACGTTCAGTTCCGCTACGCACACTTCAGATGTCTACGCGGCGATTCGTCGCTTGGTGGATTTGTCGGCACTTTACCGATCGGAAGAGGCAATGAAGCGAAGGAAACGGCGAGAATGCGGCGACAATTTTTCGGAACTAAATGTCCTGACAACCGTAGATAATTCAACTGATATGTCGGTGGTAGCGAAACCAGGCACTAATACCTTTCGTCATATCATTACTTACTTTCATTGTGGTCAAGTACAAGTAGGATTGCAGGAAGTACCTGAGCTATTCTTCGTCGCGAAAAGTCTTGGAGTTACAAGCCTTGTCAAATATTTGGAACAATACCTACTCAACGAAGTAGGTGATTATTATTTTTTTGACAAAAGTGCACATCAAATTGCGTTTTTTGCTTGAAAGTTAAATAATCTCTTTGGACACAAGTGATCTTGCAGTTCCGTTCATCTCATGCCATCATTCAGCGTCTGCTTGGACCCGACTCGAAGTCTTGCCCAAGGGTAACATTCTTACGTTACTCCAGTAAGATGTCGCCCCTTTTCACAATGCTGTACTTCTAATTTGCATGTCACTGAATACCTATATGGTAGGTTTGTTGATTGCTTTCAAATGCATTCTTGGCGATTTCCAGCAGCTATCTGTCACGTAACTTTCGAATCCTTCAATAGATGTGCACTCTACAACCTTCGTACTTCATTTCTTCCTGCCTTAGCGTCGTCCCGCTGAACAAACTGCTCCCGAAGGTGCGAGGATCCCGATCGAATTCATTCCATTATTAGCTAAATACTTCTTTCCCACACTAATTGGTTAAGATTGGCAATAAATTCTGTCCCTTGAATAACAGTCTCAGAATATTTCAGGGTTCCGTCCTCCATCCTCTGCCCTTCAGCATCGTCATGAATTATCACGCCATTGGCTCATTTTTAAATGCATCAGATATTTGACTACACTGCTATATCATGATTTGTGACAATTACCGGAGGACTGGGAGAAGTACAAGAATGGTATCGGCTGCAAATGCAAGGATTTATCCATTAATGGACTTCATTTGAATGTATCTAAAGCTG